GAGAATCTCCTAGATTTAATTGTTATATGATTTCCCTTTCTTTCCTTTCCCTAGGAATCTCCACGCATAGAAAGTGAAATTGGGCAAACGGCACTTGGTACTCCAACCTTAATCAACAGAACCTCAGAATGCCTTTCCCCGACCAGAAGGTTGAGAGAATGTCATTTCCAATTTCAGATTAACTTGTCCTTTTCTGTCAATTCCTACTCCAATGTCTCAGTCTCAATTCTGCAGATTAAAATGACATCATTAAAAGTACCATAAATCGGATTATATATATATATATATATGTATATATTGGCAACTTCTGAATTTTCCTCCCTCAATGGATTAAAGTTAACTACTTTCCAAAGCAAGCATGAGAGCATGAAAGGGAGATACAACAACTTCTGATCTTGATATTTATTGGCTGGGCATTGAAGTAACTCAAGCAGATTATTTGTTTACGTTTTTAACAATTATTTAATGAAACAGTTATTTTTTTAATCATTTTTAATATAATTATTTAGTCATGTGGTCATTTTTTGTCATTATATTAATATGATATACCATCACTCGCACGTTTATTATTATTTTTTTCAAAAAAAATGTATTTAATTGTATAATACTTTTATTTATAACTTAATTTACTTTTTTATTCTATTCAATATAAGATTTATGATACTTTTTTACTCATATTTTTAATATTTTTACGAGATTCACGATTTTTTACCACATTGTCTACCTACTTTTAAAAATGATTTGCATAATTTAATTTTTTAAAAGTTAAATTAAGTACTATTTGTCATAAAATTATTTTTCTTTTTTTAAAGCTCAATATATTAGAGCGTACAAAACCTCGGCTTATAACTCAAATCACCCATTTTACTTTATTTCATATGAGATTATTAATGCCAATTTGTAAATCTCTCTTAAATAATTTTAAATTATTATTATAAAATAAATTCTCGTTTTCTATTATTTTAAAGATACAAAATAACTGTTGGTAATTAATTCTATTGTGCGAATGATGAGTTCCTAGGTTAGTAACTAGCCTCGTAAGGTTGATGAATAGCAAAACTGCATAGATTAAAGCCAACTAGAAATTGCGGATGGCATTTTATTGATTTTAAGTGCTAGGACCTTCATAATTAAGAGTTCAAATTTTTATCGTTACATTTTTTCCGTCTCAATATTTTGTATTCACTGTATTACCAAAAAAAAATTTCAACTTAAAATCGGGAAAAAAAATAATTACGTCTACTCAAGAGGTGAAAACTGATGATGTTATTGTATAATATTAATAGTGGGGTTTAAGGTGTATGGTGGCTTAAAAAATAATTCTCAAACCGGTTGGTCACAGCTTCCTGTGGCTTGAAGCCCACCCTGCAAGTTTGTCCTTTCAAGTAATTTCTGCCTACCTTCTGATAGCTGTTATGATGGTGAAAAACATTGTCATAACATGAAGATAAACTTTGGAATTCTCATTACCTTTTTTTTTTTCCTCCTGTTGGACGCTGATGATCTGCCATTAGTAAAAATATATTTGCAAGAGTAGGTTACTTTAAGATAATTACTCATAAATTTCTCGGTAAAAATAGTGAATAGTATATTGCAATTAAGACCGAATAATTTTTGATTTTGTAGTTTAAACAATAAGAAAAGAACCATATTTAGCTCAAATAATTCAATTTAAGAAAATGAACTTTCATTTTTAACTAATTTGCACTTTGCACCCCTTAAAATAGGAAATTTTAATACTTTGCACTAAAAATTAGATGTTTTTAATACTTTGTACAAAAAAATTTTAAATTTGCCTTCAAAACTTTCAAAATTAAAAACAAATGTATCATATCTTTGATTACTTACTAAAATTAAGAATAAATTAAAATTTCACGTATATGAAGAATAAAAAGATTATAAAAGATTTAAACCCTTCATTTTTTATTATTTTCACTTTATTTAATAACTTTTCATTCATTTTATACATATATTAACGGTATGTAAAAAATTAAAAATTTAGTATTATTTAAAATTTTAAAATTTTAAAACTAAAAATAAATTTTTGATAAAAAATATAAAAATAATATTTGAACTGGCTATTTTAGTTCTTAATTTGTCTAGATATTTTATACAAAAATAATTTTTTTAAGTGGTTATTATAGTTCTTAATTTGTTTAGTGTTTTATATAAAAATAATTATTAATACTTAATTTGTAACAAATTAATATTTTTAGTTTTTAAATTAAGAACTAAAATAGCCACTTAAAATATTTTTCTATATTTTTTAATCAAAAATTTATTTTTAAATTAAAATTTTGAATATCTAATAAATTTATTGTCCATGTGTATTTCAAGAAATTAGTTTACTTGGTTTATATTCTAATTAGAAATATTAAATTTGAAATAACTATTGTAGTTTTTAATTTATTTAGTATTTTATACAGAAATAATTATTAGTTCTTAATTTGTAACAATTAAGATTTTTAATTTTTAAATTAAGAATTAAAATATTCACTTCAATTTTTTTTATTTTATCAAAATTTTATTTTTAGTTTTAAAATTTTAAAATTTTGAATAGTACTAAATTTTTTAATTTTTTACATACCATTAATGTGCGTATAAATTAAGTGAAAGTTTATTAAATAGAGTGAAAATAAAAAAAAAAATGAATGATTCAAGTCTTTTATAATTTTTTTACTTTACATTTACATAAAATTCTAAATTTACCCTTAGTTTTAAGAAGTAATAAAAAATATGATGTACTTTTTTTAATTTTTGAAAATTTTAGGGTTAAATTTAAAATTTTGGGGTACAAAGTATTAAAACCCCCTATTTTAGGTACAAGTGAAAATTAGTTTTTATTTTTTAACAAATAATTTTTCCTTGCAAATTAACCAAATGTCCTGAGTTATTATTATAATTTTTTTAGGGGAAAATTGAACTATCACATGTTTGGTATTAAGATGTTTTATATTTTTACATTTATATAAAAATTAATTTTTAAAGAGATTATAAAATTAAATTTTTTAAGATAAAGTCTCAATATTTCATCGTAAATATCAGACAAGAAGTATATTTTTTTTTAAATATAAATCCAAACATCCTCAACATGGGTGACATATAAATACGAAATCGTTACTTTTGGTTATTTAATTTAATTTTTATTAAAGTCATTTGATATTTCATTTTTGTGCCGGAAGAAGTTTTATCATTTGAATAATTTTAAAATTCAAAATAATTTGACATTTCACCACAATAATTTTTAATTTTATCTTGGGAGGGGAGAACAAAAGATAATTACAATTTACACCCTTCTTGAAATTAATTTCACCATAATTCTACTTTTGATATTGCTAATTGAATTAATTATTACGTTAATAAAAAAATTCCATGTATATGTTTATTACAGGAAGCAGCACATTTTTGAGAATAGGTTTATGTAATTTTTTTATTATTTAATTTTTCCCGGAAAGTTTAAAATGTAATTTGACTAAAAATGAAAATTTTGTGGAATATGCTAAGGGGAAGGTTAAAAATTAAAATTGTTAACTGGCGAGGTCGACTGTAAATTTTTGAACTCGGTAAGTTTAAATTTTGAAAGACTAGTAATTTATCTAAAAATGTCAAGGTTGTGTTGCTTTATTGACTTGCGAGTAGCGCTCAGTTGGCCCACAGAGCACTGACGTGTCACGATCTCTCGTGCCATGTACCTCATCTCTAAAAACTTTTGTCACTCTCTCCCATTATTTTCTCCCTTTGCCTCTTGCTGTGTCTGTATGACTGTTTCTTACTGTAGTTACTGTTCTTCTCACTCCTCTCTCTATACAAATCAATAACCTGTTCACCTGGAGCTGAGTGTGTTTGAAAGCCGCTGGCACTGCACCAGATACAGGGTCTTGATAGCCCTTGAATTTCAAAATAAAAATCTAGGAACGAAAACCCTTCCCTTTTCTGGGTTGGAGTTTCGACCAATTCGAAGATCGCAGTTTGAGGATTCGAATTTCTCTGCGGACAGTCTCCTTCTGTCATTTATCTCTTAACTCTCAGATCCTTCGGTGCAATTCACTGTCTCCTCATTTGTGCCACTTGAATGGCCATTTTCTGATCATTGTTTGCTGTTCTAGGTAAGTAGAAGAAGCTTTTGGAGCTTGATTACTCACACATATTCATGTCTAGGAGAATGTGATACACATGCTTACCCATGCGCATAGACCTATTTGTCTACATTTGAGTCGACATCGGTGAATATGAGGCGAGTTTCAACTTTCACTGTATCTCTGCGCTTTTTTTGTGTTTTAATGCTGGATCTCCTTTCTTCTAGGTTGAATCTTAGAGTCGGAACAGTGGATCTCTTCATTAGTTTAGAGATCTGATACCGTGTTTACATTTGCGTGTGTCTCTTAGCGTATTCCCTTGACGGGTTTGTGAGATTTTGGTTGAAATTATGGATTGATGGCTTGGATATATTTCTACTTGGGGCTTCCATTTGGTTCTTATGATCGGGTAGAATGAAGGTAATAAGATTATGGAATCTTATTATCTCACGTTGTGTTTTGTTTTAGGCATTTGCAATGTCAATTAGCCAAATAGTGTTTTGGGTTTGGTTGGCTGGTTAATTTTGCAGGTTGAATGGGGAAGAATTGATGACAAACAGAGGCCGACCCTTGTGCTTCTCCTTCCTCATAGAGGTTGAGCTTATTTATTTATTAATAAATGTGCATATGTTATCAGTCTCTAATCCAACTTGTTTGTATTTTCATTAAGTTTCCCTTCTACAAAACAAAAGAACGAATAGTTGTCTCTTAATCTCCCATCACTCTAGTGATTTCGTTGCAACCCTGCAGTCTTTTAGTAGAATTGAAATGAAGGTGGTGAGGGCTGGCCTCGGTTGAATTATAAGTTCCATGGACTGAAACATGATAAACAGCCACTTGGATTGGAGCAAGGCTACATACAGGTTGACTCTTCTAGACCTATACCGGTGCTGCCACGCCTCCCATTGACACCTTTGCTTTGAAATGGGATTGGAATGGTTCCTTCCCATTGATCTGATTTGGAGCACTGGATGGTAGTTTGTTGTCAAAACGGGAAATCTGTTCTTGTTACTTGTTTGCTTTCTTTTTCTTTCTTTTTTTTTCTTCCTGAATATTTAACAGTCAAAGAGTTTTACATACTTCATGATCTGATGCATTGCCAGCTTGTGTTTAATTATAAACTCGTTTCATTTTCTGGAAAAATCATGGTAGCCTTTTCTTAAAATTTGGCTTTACTCTAATAGTGCTTTTTGACATAAAGGATCTTTCGCTTCTGAGTCATATGAAAACTTTAGCCTTTTTAGTACTGAAAAATGATTTCCATTGAGGATTTGTAGTTTTTACCTGAGCTGGAGTTTATTTTAATATACAGCATGGAAATGGATGCCCACAATACTCCACCTATTTCTGCAAACGGGATGAGTGATGAAAATGGAGTTCATGGATGGCTTCCTGCCTCTGGTGAGGGAGGCAAGCTTTTGGAGCAAGTGAATGGTATTCCATCCTATGCTTCTGAGACTGTGGGCCAGATGGGGATTTAGAAACTGTACTCAAGGTGGAGGATGTTGAAGTCATCAACTCTTCTTCTGAGGATATACCTGAAAAGTCAAGTGTACATACTGAAAGCAATGGTTTGACAGTCTCTAAGGTAGGAGGCACATGCATTTTATGTATAGACTCTATGTGCTGCTATAAAGATAGTCAATTGTGGGATTTTACCTTTTGAAAATGGGAATGCTAGTAACTCACTTTTTTATTTAAATCAATGTACTTGTTCTATTTTTAGGAACATGAAAGGGAAAATATGACTCAGTCAAAGGATCCTCAACCACAGAAGAATCAACCAGTGACCAAAAGTGAAAAGCCATCAAGGTCCGATCATACTGGAAGAATGTGGGCAAAAAAGAGCAAAGATGGACAAGAAAAGGAGGCAAATTCCACTCTTTCAAATGGTTCCTTGGCTTCAAATTTGCATTCAACCCAATCTCATGCCCTTAGAACAAAGAAAGTGGTTCCTGATGGTAGCTTGAAACCAACTGCTTGTGTGATCAATGCTCGGACTTCAAAAGTAAATATTAATCTTTCTTTTTTGTTAAATTAGCGGGAAAGCTATGTTTTGATGTGAATATATTCTTTTCCTTTCGTTTATGGTATTGGTTTGTTTCTAACTATTGTTGTTATTCTTTGCTTCTTGGATCAGCAGTCTGGAAAGTCTGATGCAGCAGCATCCACTTTGGTTGCAGCTGAGTCTGAAAGCCTGATGTATATTCTGCTTGCACTGACTTCCATATCTTTCAAAGCATTAGGTCTATATGACATTTGTTAGCTCCAATTTTAGATTGTAAAGGAAAGGACAGGGGATAGTCTCTAAATTCACCTATAGTTGAAATTTCTGATTTTATTTGATATTAATTTTATTCACTATATCAATGATAAGTTTGTTCCAGTGGTTTGTGAATTTTATATTCCTGATCACAGGGTGAAGACAAAACTGAAACCGTTGAAGAAGGGTCCTGAAAATAAATCTGAACAAAGTGTTCAACCCATCTCGTATCCTATTACACTTGGTCAGAAAATTTTCCCCATGTTGCTGCATGTACTTGTATACAGTATTGGTATGAGCTTGTGTCCAAGATTTGGACCTTAGTATACCTTAAATCTTGGTCTTAGAATATGGAGATCTCTATGCAATTGAATACAAAAGAAACATGCACATATCTGGATTCTTGAACATTTAGATAAGCTTTAGGTTATATTTATATCCTTGATCGAATGTATACTGTTATTTTGGATATAAATATTTGAATTTGAATTTGAATTGGAGAGAAGGAAATTTCTATCTTCCCATATGTGAGAGAGGCTTATTATTATTTTGGACGGGTGAGAAATAACTATTACAATGTAGTTTTGGTACTTGGTTAAATTATACATATGGATGAAAGAGATTGGCGTGGTTGTGTTGTAAGACAGAGAATTAAGGTTGAGTTGAGCAGGCGGAGGAATGCTTTGTAGGTATTATGGGTGTGATCAATGTATACCTATGAGATTGAAGGGAAAGTTCTATAGGATAACTATAAGACCTACTGAACTCTATTGCACAAAATGTTGGGCAATTAAAAAATAGAACGTGTTAGTAAATTGACTGTGATGAAAATTAAGAATGTTGAGATGGATGTGTGGATAGAACTAGAAATGATTGTAACTGGGTGATGGTCAAGGTAGCACTTACTGAAGATGAAGTATAAGAGATCAGCTTAGATGCTTTGTTTATGTGCAACATAGACCCATAAATGCTTCAGTTAGACAAATGACACTTTTTATTCAAGGTACAACTGAGATAGGGGGTGGCCTAAACTAACTTGGATAAAATAGCGAAGAAGGATTTAAACTGTTATAATTAACTGAAAATAGGATCTTTGATAGTGTGAATAGGAGACATGGAGTTGGGATAAGGCTTGATTTGATTTGAGCATTATTGGCACAAAATAGACCAAATATTATATATTTTATGATGTTGAACACATATCCCATGCTTTTAACCTTGTTCTAACTTGTGAAAGGGGTACTTTTAAGAGGAATTGAAGAATTCACATAATATGAATTAAGTTTTTTATTTTTTATTTTTTTATTTTTTTTTATGTGCTGCTTCTTTGGGCATCAATTCTTGAATCATTTGCTCAGCTTGATCTTATTATTATCATGTTTCCCTTGACTGCTTTATGGAAGCCCCGATGCAGAAGATGCTAAACCTTGCAGAGTGGGTACTCTTCCATCCTACAATTTCAGCTTTAGGTGCAATGAAAGAGCTGAGAAGAGAAAAGAGGTTGGTTATATATTTGCATCACTATGATTTACAACACAACAACCCTGCCAGCTGACCTAGAAAATTCTTCCTATTTTGTTTGGCAGTTCTACACTAAGCTTGAGGAAAAGATTCATGCAAAGGAAGTAGAAAAGAATAACTTGCAAGCCAAAACCAAGGTATTATCATTTTATGGTAATGCTTTTAAAGATACTGGGATGATTATACTGTGCAGTTAAATTTGTATATGAAATGTCTTTTATCTAAAACAGGAAACTCACGAAGCTGAGATTAAAATGTTAAGGAAGAGTTTGATTTTTAAAGCAACACCAATGCCAAGCTTCTATCAGGAGCCTCCACCTCCTAAGCCTGAATTAAAGAAGGTACAATTTTCTATTTCCTGTGGCATGTGTGTGAGTTCAAATGCTGAAGTTGAACTTCCGAAATTCTCAAGAGGAAAACTTCATACTCTTATGGAGATTAAAAGGGAAGAAAATTGATCTCTCTCATGGTGATTATTACACCAGCAGCCTAGGCCCTATATATGTGTTGTTTGAGCAAACTGCATCTTTCTCTCACCCATATCTGCATCCTCAATCTTATTCTGCTTAATTTGTTATAAACTTTGTACCTTAGTTCTGTTTGGTTGCATTTCAATCTTATTGGGGTGTTTTCATGAGTTACTCATTCTAGATCCAGTTGTAAATACTTTGGTTCTTGTAGTCATTGCATTTGCTGCTTAAGTGTGTCTATATGTTATCACTTCTCATTGCTTATTACTAGTTTGTTATGAATGACATCCAACCATTATTTGATCAAGGTTAGAGTCTAGTATGGCAAATTTGGTAATGCCATTGATAGTATTTAATTTCAACCTAATTTCGTATAAAAGGTTCATAAATGTTTTGAGAAGAAACTGTTCTTGGTACATTTTTACTTCTTTGTGATTGATTTGGAGGAATTTGTCTGACAATCAACGCACAGATTCAGGTTGATCTCTGGTTGCAATAAGATTGTGGAAAAGCTTATGCTCATGGAATTTTATCGAAGTGACCCCAAGCTAGCAATTTACTCCCGTTAATTACTACAGGTCACCTTTATTCAGGTTTATCTGTTGCATTAGGTGGTGAATTACAATTGGAGGCTACAAACAACAAAAATGAAATGGTACATATACTTGTAGGAACAGCTGAACAATGCTGTGTTAATTGTGGATAAATTGACCACAGAAGTGCAAGATGAAATCATTGGTACATGCCATTCGTGGATGATGTTGCATTGATAGATAAAAATAAAATAGGGACGAAAGTTAAATTAGAACTTAGGAGAGAAGTGGAATTGAAATAAGTAGAAGAAGAATTGAAAATATGAAGCGTAATTTTAACAAAACTAAAGATGAAAATGAAGGAATAATTAGTCCTGAAGGCAAGGAATAGCTATTAGTTAGCAGTTTCTTTATGGAGGTCAATTATGCATTTGGATATAGAGATTATTGTGGACGAAGTGCATAGATTTAAGGCTGCAAGGAGTAAGTGGAAGAATTGTTCAGGAGTCTTATCTGATTGACCAAATGCCTACATGACTGAAGGGAGGGTTTTATGAGACAACTATAAGATCCACTCTACTTTGTGACATAGAATATAGGCCAGTTAAAAAACAACGTGATAGTAAAATGAGTGTAACAAAATGAGAATGCTAAAGATGGATTGTGATAACTCTTGGAAGGATAAAATTAGAAATGATTGCATTATGGAGATGGTTAAGGTAACACTTCTTTAGGATAAAATAAGAGAAATAGGATCAGATAGTTTTGTAATGTGCAACTTAGACCCATAGATGCTCTAGTTAGAAGTCACATTATTTTTGTTAGGGTAATAAGAGAGGTAGAGGTGGGTCAAAACTAACTTGAATTGTAATAGTTAAGGGTTTAAATAGGTTTAATTTAATTGAAAATATGATCTATGATCTAGCATATTGGAGACAAAGGATTAATGGAGCCAGCCCATTGGGAAAAGACTTGGAATTAGTTGAATGTTGAAATATTAAGGAATTCATTGTCATCCGTTTGGTTACTCAATTATTATTCCTTTTTATATTTTTTTCCTTCATCAATCATGTAGAGTTTTTATTTTTTTTTACATTTTAGGATTTTTTAAATATCCTTTAGACCTTTTTAGCTTTGTTTTTCATGCTTTATGGTGCTGTAATGCAGATACCACCAACGAGAGCCAAATCTCCAAGCTTGGTCGAAAGAAAAGTTCACCCACCAGAGACCCAGAAGGAAACAGTAGTCGCATCTCCAGACCTGGCAGATTGAGTTTGGATGAGAAAGTGTCTCACAACAACACTGTTAAAGGACCAGCTCATGTGAAAAAACCACAAAGAAAATCTCTCCGAAGCTGCCTTCTGAAAAGACCATATTATCCAACGGAATAAATGAAGATGAATCTTCCAAGGCCAGTCCATCTGACAAAATAAACGAAGCTTCATCACTAAAATCTGCCTTACCACATGAAACAAATGAACTAACAAATGAAGCTTCATCACCGAACACTGTCTTACCTAGTGAAAAAAGTGAATTAACATCTTACATGCAAGAGCGGGAGGCAGTACATGCTGATCCAAGCGCAGCACAACTGATATAGTTGTTTTGGCAGAGGTTGAAGGCCAACCCCGGACCTCAGTGCAGGAGCCAATTGCCTCAGAGATTTAAACACAGCAGGCGATGGTGTTGAATGTGGAATTATCAAACCCTCAATCCCTTGACACTACGAGCCGTATGGATTATTGTCACAATTATTTGAGAATATGGTTTGAATATTTCATGAGTTTTGGCCACTTGATATAAAAATGATTGCTTTCCAGATTTGCTTGTATGGTGATTGGGGTCCCGTAACTGTTTGTCAGTTGTGGTAAGTAACTTATGTTTGTAGTCTGGCTGCTTGGTTGTTGAGGCGATAAACTGAAAATTTTGGGAACGAAGAATGTTGCGTTAGAAGGTTGAGTGTCAAATATATTTTTGTTTCAGTTTCTACCCTGATGAACTGAGGGGTGGTATTGCTGTTAATGAAAACTACTTTCATGGGCCTTTGTCTATTGCTTATTAGCAGATGTTCATGTTTGTATTGACATTATTATTCACATTCCTTATTGAATACAGTTTCTCTGCATCATTATGCTACATCTCAACTTTCTAGGCGTGTGTAGATCTCTCATCTCTGCAGCAAAAAGGATTGTCATCACAAAAAAAAAAAAAAAAGAGAGAAAAAAAAGAAGCAAAAGAGAAGGAAAGAAAAAAGAAACTCCAAATTGTTTTAAAGAACCGTGGCACTCCAACCCGGGAATTGATTGAGGAAACATACGAGCATTTCCACGATAATTTGTTTATTTCTGAGAACCTTGGTGGGCTAATTTTATTGTCTTTAAAAAACTAGCTGGTCCGGGTTTGATGCGAGGACGAGCAACTATAATCCTAATACACATTGGCCACGGTATGCTGGTTGTATGAAACAACTTTGTTCAAATTGCTCCTTATTTATCAGATACATGGACTTCAATCTAATAGTTATGACCCAACGGTGAGGAATAGAAATTATTTATTATACATATTGTGGGTTCCGCAGCTTTGTATCTACAGTTAAGAAAACCCAGAGAAACTATCAACTTCTCTAGGTAAACTAATAGAATTTTTGCATGCAAGATGTCTTGGTAAGCTTTTTCTCTCGGCACTTTCTGTCCATTTCTATTTATTAATCTAGTATTTCAGATATAAAAAAGTGGGAATCCGGAGATAATTGTGGAGCTGTGCAGGCGCAAGCCACCGCCTCTGCCTCCAGGTCCTGCAAGTTTAAAAGCAGGGGGCAGTACATCGAGGTTTGAGCACTAATTGTTATTATGCCACCAATATTAAGCCTCTAGACAGCTGCATATGATATTGCAGAAAGATTTGGTATTGTAGCATTTGAAGAAGATCCAGTGAGTGGAAAAGGGCTGAAAAACAGAGGTTTTAGAAGCCATCTCAAGTCCAAGCGAGCCCATAAATTAGTGCCCGCACAGAAAAGGAGAAAGTAAAAAGTTGGGGAAGGAGGCTGCTGATTATATGGGCTTTTTGAGGCATGAGAAGGACGAGTTACTTGGTTTTGTGAGAAAAAAAGACAATAAACAGAGAGGTAATTACAAAGTCTTATTCATTCAGTGAATTTGTAGGGTTTGTCTAATATCTTTAGCTGGCAATACTAATGGTAGTTCATTTCTTGGCAATTTAAAAGCTCTTTGTAGGCTATAAATGGATTTATACGGCCAGGAATTCATTTATTTTCTGTTATTTCCATTAAAAATTTGGCTTAAAGAATTCTTTTCTGAATAAGTTTCCTGGGGTACCTTCCAATTACCCCTTCCTGGTTTTAGTTCGAGCACAAAAAACTTACAAGATTTATAAATATTGGCTCACAAGCGGTGCAAGTTGAATAAAATAGCTAAGGAGAAAAATGAGCAGTAATTATATTCATAGATTTGGTTTAAGTTGTTTTTGTTAATATGTTTATGTAAGATATTTCTCATTTCATTGACTATGTTTGTGAACACGAGATTATCGTCTCTCCCTCCCTGAGAAATTACGATTATCCTCTCTCTGTGCGCAGTCTTTCACGTACGTGCAAAATGACAGTTTTCTTATTTCTAATTTTAAGGGTAAGCACATAAGTATACATCAATAGTGGTGACTAGGGCAGTCAATGTAGATGATTTTAATCCAAATTCAATCCGATTATTTAAAATATTTAACTCATAAAAAATTTGATAAATATGATCTAATTATAAAAGTTCGTAATCTAAAATAAATAAAGCGAATATAAATATTACCTGATTCGATCCATTAAAAGATCTAAATCTAAATATATATATATTAATATAGATATACATACAATATATATGGTATATAATATGATAAAATATTACATATTTCACAATATAAAGACTTGAATTAATAAATTATTTTCTTCCTAAAAGTAAAAAATAGAAAATATGTATATTAATAGATTAAATATAACTATGATATATCACTAGTAAGTCAATTTTACATATTTGTAATGGATCAAATATAATTATACTATACTTTTAAATTTCCAAAAAGAGAAATGATCAATTAATGGCAATGTGAGTGTAAAATATTTATAACAAATTTTATATAGTCGATTTTGTCAAAATTAATAAATGAAATTAATTAATATTTTGAAATGAAAGATAAGTGTAAATTAATATAATGGAAGATAGCAGTAATTAATTCTATTTATTGAATTTGACTAAATCGATGTCACAATTATATTGGTATCAATTGATCATTTCTCATTCAAAAATTCGGATTTGGATTTTTATTTCAGGTATTAAATTTTATCTGGATTCAGATATGGTAGCACTAAGCATATATCTTATAGGATTTCGGATCAAATTCGGATATAGTATGCCATTATCATATTCAGATCTAGATCCGCCATGATTCGGT